TCTCTCTCTCTCTCTCTCTCTCTCTCTCTCTCTCTCTCTCTCTCTCTCTCTGAGTGTCACTCTGCATTCTTTCCTTACGGCAGTTATGGATCGGTCGATCAATAATGAAACGAGCGAAAGAATGACTAACAGACCAACCTACCGACCTACAGACAGAGAAACCGAAAGACCCACTGACCGATAGACAAACAAATAGACACGCATTTGAAGATTCGAACCAAGGCTATCCATACCGTGTTCCTGTTTGGTATAAACTGATCCATCAGACAGCACATACAATAAAATAAAACATTTTTAAAACATCACACGCGCGCGCGCGCGCGCACACACACACACACACACACACACACACACACACACACACACACACACACACACACAATGAACCGCCTAACTGAAGACTTTAACCAAGTCTGTCGCACCATGGTCGTGCTTGATACAAACCGAGCTATCAGACCGCACTAAAGGGTTATACAATAAATACACACCCAAAATATGCGCTCTTTCGGACGTTCTGCTCCGACATCATATTACTAAGGGTGTTTTTGCCCCTTTCACAATGAAATGAGAGAATAAAAAATATATCGGTTCATACATCTTTCATGAGCGAAGACGGAATAATAAAGCTCTTGCGGATGAAGCAGAAGAGGAGAGCAACAACCCAAGATTCCCTAAATAGCCATTGGGGCTTCGTGTTTCGTGTCGCAAACAGGATTTTGTTTCGGAATTCGTACAAAAACAAAAGACCAAAAAACAAAAAAAAACAACAAAAAAAAGAAAGAAAAAGAGAAGGACCCCCCCCCCCTCTAAAAAAGAGCATCGTAAGACAAGCATTATATAGCCCAAAAGAAGGCAGAACAGCACAGTTGCAGTACCCGCCCCCTCCCTTACCCCCTCCCTGCACCCCGTCTAATGAATGGTGGGCGTTTTGTTTCTTCGCTTTTTAATCATTTTTTTTTTGGTGGGGAAGGGTATTTTAATCCGCGGAAGTTTATGTATATCCTAATAGACACAAAAATGGTATATTTTTTTTCGGAGTTGAGCCCAACAATAAGAATAAAGAAGGTGGAAGAAGGAAGGGCTAAAAACTCAAGGCAATGCGCTGCCGCCATGATTTAAAGGTCTTGCACGTGCATCTGAGTGTCGATGTTCACATGAGGAATTTTGCAATTCGAAGGATATTACTTCTTGCTGACGGGCAATTGGTTCATCAATTTATTGACACCCCCTTCCCTCTCACCCACGCTACCGACTTTCTTTCGAATCTGTTGAGAGGAATTACTTTCAACGTGATTTTATCAAGAATTATTTTCCATTCATTTATTTATTTATGCGTTTATTTATTTGATTATTTATTTATTTATTTATTCATTCATTCATTTATTCGTTTATTGTTTGTTCATTTGTTTATTTATTTATTTACTTTTTTTTCTCATTTATTTGTTTATTAATTAATTAACAAATTAATTAAATTAAATTAATCAACTAATTTATTGGGGGTGACATGAAAAGTAGACCTAATTTAATAAAAATAGTCCTCTTGACAGAAAAAAAGCACCAATACTCCGCCCCCCCCCCCCCAAACCCCCCTCCCCCAAACAAAAACAC